TAATTTTAAAATAAAAACTTGAATAGAGTTTTATTTGACCTTAAACAAATGACTTTATAATCAGATTTGAACGTAAAGTAAGAAAAACATAACGAGAGGAAAAGCACTTAACTTCAATCAAAATCTACTATTGAGGTTATTGTGTTTATGAGAAATGCGTTGTATTGATTTTTACAGCATTCGTGTCTGGTTTCAGTCACACCTGTGCTCTATTTGCATCCGGAGAACCTGTTTAAAGACTGTTTGATGACACTCTAATGTCTGTCTGACCCCGTCCTCTTATTTTTGCTGTAGCTCAGGGAAACTGTTGGATGTGGATGACCACTACTACCCAGCCCTCTCTACCAGCCGTTCTGAACCCTCCATGTCCAAAGAGAACACATCATCCATGCCTGAGAGGAAGCAATCTATAGGGAGGAGGCAGTCAATGGAAAGGAGGCGGTCCGTAGAGAGGAAGCAGTCCATGGACAGGAGACGATCTATGGATAGAAGGCAGTTTGGGGACAGGAGGCAGTCTGTAGAGCAGAGACTGACTGCTCCCAGTCGACAGATCCGAGAGAGGGCCGCCACTGAACCGGAGCGTCCCAAATCTGCCAAAGAAAACAGGTGTGTCATTTATGTCCTCTTCATAGTGTCTCTGGCAATAAGTACATGTCCTATAAAGTGTCCCTGTATTTTTGTGAAACTGTGCATGACTGCATTAATTACTTGTTTCTGCTTTAACACTGAACCAACCCCATTCAAAGCACCTGAGAGATAACTGCACGATCTGATATCCTCGTGTTGGTGTTGTTCCCAGATCATCATACTAAATGTTGTTCCAGGATCAACATTGCAAGTGACCAATCAGAATGTTGTGACGTCATACTTTTGCGACTTTGGGAAAAACCGGCGTAAAACAAAAAACTGTACTTAAGCTGGGAGAAACCGCCTCTGTCCGCCGATCAACGGACCCTAACCCTAACCGTAACCCTTTAATAAACAGTAAGCAGAACTGATATTGTCCTTGCAACATTGGAATTTCATAAATGCACGAATGGCTTGGCGCGCAAAAGAATAACGTCACAACAATGTGATTGGTCACTTGCAATGTTGAACCTGGAACAACATTTTCATGATGGTCTGGGAACAACACCAACACGAGGATATCAGATCATCCGAGATAACTATCAGCTATGTTGTAATCAGCACCATCAATAAGCTTCAACAAGGTGGAACCACTTTTAAGCTGGAAATCAGTTTCCACTTTTTATGATGCCATTTTAATCTTTGTCAATACCAACCACGAGGTCCCATTATGACATTTTTGGGATTGTTTTTCCAACCATCTCGTCATCATTTCCATCGACTCGCATTATGTGAAACAGATGAAAGATAGGTAATGGCCTTCAGGATTTTTGTCCAGCTGACCGCTTTGTTACCGTCTGCACGTACAATTTATTACAGTTCAGCTTTACTGATTCACAAATATAGTCACAAGTTACATTGTTAATGTTTGCTAACTGAATTTGTTACGTTTCTACCTCAGTATAATAATGATACTACTGTTGCTACTGTTTAAAAATAAATGTAATCTCAGTGAATTTGGATGATTTGTAAAGTCAGACCTTAGTTTACAGAAAGAGGGAAAAGCATTATCTACATAACCATAATAAGACAAAGCTATACAGGCTGTATATGAAAGATGGAAGTTCTCACCATGATATCACCCACTGAAGCCACTTCTGAAGCATCTTGGATTTAAGAGACAGATCTGATCGTATTTTAATGAGGCTGGAGTACTAAGCTAGCAGCTAATGTTGGCTAGCTGGTAAGGCTATAGTTACAGTAAGGACAATAGTGGTTAGAGACCATGGCATGCTACAATTTTATTGCAACTGTGTACAGTAAACTTTGTAGTTTTGAAAGTCTTCACAGCAAGTCTATGAAAACTCAGTCAATTGTTTTCTTCAAAGTGACTTTGCTGCTTTAAAGTTGGTAATAAAATGGCAATAAGATGAAGTCAGTCTGCTAAATAAGGTCAAGTAAATAATTACACACAGTGTCTTTATGATAATAAGGACAATTGCTGTCATTCGTTGCTAATCTGTTGCAGTCTACACATTCAACAGACGTTCGCATAAATTACTTATATTCATAGTCCAGTCAGAACCTCACAGATATAAGACAGAAATTCTGAAATTCCTTCACAAATAGTGATGTAGTTGTCTCTTGTCTTTAATTCTAACGTTGTGCTTGAATGTATAGGCACAGTTCACAGATATCAACTAATTAGTGCTTTGTAACATGCAAATAAAATACCAGACTTTAACTCATCACAAGCGTAGACTTGGAGAGTTTGTATCACTTAGCTGGTCAAATAATTTCATCATAAAGGCTACAAAAGGCAGAAACACCACAAACACAGTCAAAACTTCCAGTTCAGTGACTTTAATTAGCTGAGGTGAAGCCTAGCAGACAGATTAGCAGCCTAGCCTGCATCCACCTGTCACTCAAACCAGTCTCACCCATAATAATGCATAGTTTTAAGCCTTGACTAAATTTAATTTGCTGATTCATAATAAAAATTTCACTCCACAATAAAGTTTTTGTGAAGAGGTAAATTATCTGCAGAGCCAACAACTGGGCTGTAAACATGTTTATTTTTACAGAAAGTTGTTCAGTTTAACATGAGCTTACTGCAGTCTGCCTCAAGTGGCTGTTTGAGGAACTGCAGCTTTTGGCACTTCAACTTTCTTTTATTTTTCAGTGCTATTCTGCTGCCTGTCACTAAAAGATATTATTAAAGATTCTTCAGATCTGGACTACAAATCAGCTACTTGATTTGTAGTTTTAGTCTGGCCACATCCTTACTCCATAATAGGACTTGTGAGGTACCAGCACCTCTGTTTATGAGTCTGGTTTTTGAATTTTAGTTTTTACTTGCTCGAAGGATAAATTCATACATGAATTTAATCTATTTTCCCTTCAGCTTGGCCGCTCCCTTGGACAGCTCATGATAAATGGCCCAAATATGATAACCAGTATGAAAACCTTGAACCCTGAACATGAATCTTTTCATCTCCTTTCCATTTAATTTTGTTTGTTTGTTTGTTTACATCCCCACGTCCTACCTTGTGTTCAACATTTCTGTTTTTATCTACTTGTGCTGAAATTTGTCTCCTTTGTGTAATCGACAGACGCTCTGTTCCCAGAATGGCCTCCACAGAGAGCCGGACTGAAGAGAATCCATACGACTTCAGACATCTACTGAGGAAGACCTCGCAGAGACAAAGGCTGATCAAACATTACTGAATACAGGAAGTGACTTTTGGCTATTCGGGACTTGATCGGTCGGGATCGCTGATCGCACCATGTGGCAGTTTGTTCTGGTGTCCTGCTAACCACAGCACATGTTTCATTTATTTTATTGATCTTCAGACACATTGTACAACAGTTTGGGTAGGAAATGAAACTCCTCTGGACTTAACTGGACAGACTGTATTGATTTTCATGCATACAGTGAACACAGAGTACAGTCAATGTAAATAACAAGATGTCATACTTTTAAACTTGCTGTAAAATAAGGTTTTATTTATGAGACCAACAGTTTAGTTACTGGTATTCTGTATTTCCAATGTTTTTTCTTCGATATCTTTATTTTCTTTCAAAAAATTTGCAGGTTGTGCTCTTAAAACTTTGCATTTCAAGTCATTCCGAAGACTAATCAGCTTCATATTGTGAAGAATGTACATTATTTTATCTGCTTAAATGTTCAGTTTGTTCACTTAAACAAAAAAATATATTAAATTCCTCGTCCCATTTCATTATTTTTAGTTCGCTGCTCTCAAATTAGCCGAAATCGCAAACTTTTCATAATCGTGCAAAATGAATAACGTAGAAGGAAAAATGCAAAGACATTCAGTGTTTCATTGCCTGTGTGTATAAAGTACATCAATTCCTCGCATTATCCTCCATCCCGCGTAATTGTTGCTTTGTGCGCAATAATCACTACATTTGAAATAGCATTCACTCAAATGACAGCCTTTGATTCTTGTGAATATTTGGTGGAAAAGTAAGAAGGACAGAATGTTTTTTATTTATGTATTTATTTGAATATTGATGCCAGATTCAACCTCTGACCTTTATGTGACATTTTTGAAAGAGAAGCCCCCCTTGGGGGCTGTTAGTGAATCCCCAGCTACATGCTGACTGCACACAGTGCACAGTGGCATAAAAACACGTAGGGCTGAAGAAATACTGACAAAATGCAGACTACGGAAGAAAAACTGTTACAGCTTCCTCCACACACAGGATTCACAGACAAATTATTTAAAATAAAGAAATATTACAAAATGTTACACCAAGTTTGAACAAAGAAAAAAAACTCGGAAATGACACAATAGAGTGATCTCATAACACACTGAGTGTGTGTGTGTGTGTGTGTGTGTGTGTGTGTGTGTGTGTGTGTGTGTGTGTATATATGTGTGTGTGTATATATATATATATATATATATATATATATATTAAAGGGTTCAGTTTATGTTAATGAGGCTTTTTGGGTATTAGATAACTGTTGACCAGTGCATTTATAAATCACTGCAGATGGGGCTCAGTGTCGCTTTGATGCCTGCAGGGTTAATTTACACTAATTCGTGGAGACAGAAGGTGACAGTGTTGGAGTTCCACGTGGTGATTTGTAACTAGATATTGTAAGTAACATAAAATGTTATTTCTGTAGCACCTTTGCAGACAAACACACACTGCTTCACAACACAATACCAGAGCAAAGAAAAACAGAGTTAATGTTGTCTTTAACTATTCCCATTTGTTTTCCTCCTTGTATCCGGATATTTTGACGCAGTTAAACTACAGATTTAACGGCTTAACTTTATTTTGGATGGGGTGGGTGGAGGGAGGTGTCTCAAAATCAGACAAAAAAAACCCACTTTGTGAGTAAAGAAAGTAAAGCAAGCCCCTCTCTCGGTAATAAATATTTTAGGAGTAACGCGCCCCTGGAGTGAGCGGAGAGAGGAGGGACCCACGAACACTCTGTGCATTTGAACCGAGTCCCCTCTCCGCCCCGCTGTCTCCTCCACCGGAGGCGGGCAATTAGAGGTCTGAAAAAATAGGTCTGCGATTGCTGGGCAGATGAATTAGTTGGCGTTCAGTGTCTGTATGGAGGGTAAGTTCTGTGCGCAGGGGGCCAAAAATGTCGGGGATGTATGGAGTCACGACGCACGACGCAGCGCGGCTCGTCATGACCTGAAGTGAATCACCACGGGATTGCGTTAGTGACGTGAAATTTAGGTTGGCTGCAATTAGGCATGGCTTGTGCGCCGCATATTTACCAGCAGCTGTAGCCTCATAGCTGCTTTTTCCCCCTCCACCATTTTCATCACCATTTTCTTTTTGCTTATTGTTTTTCTCTGAGTCATTTTTTATATAATGTAGCAGCTTTGCATCAAAAGACATTTCACTACATCCGGAACTTGCGCAAACTATCTTGCGCTGTATTGCATTTTTCCCCCTATTAAGTAAAGAGCGTGGCTGCTCTGCGCCGGTCAAGTGTTTGCGGATTTCTTTCTGGACACGGCGCTTCATGCTTCGTGCACCTGTGGACGCCTGCAAAGGAGGAAGCGAGGACGCCTTTTGTGATTTCTTTTTTTTTTTTTTACCCACCCCACGCTCACACACGCACTTACGAGGGTCGGTTTATTTGTAGTGTCTTTCCAGCGAATTAAAGCGTCTGTCGGATGCACGGCTGGATTTCAAGCAGTCTGAAAGGTCTGGTCAGATTCAGCACCACATCGGCTCTGAACAGCTCCCGGTCGTCGCGTGTGGATGGGCTCTGTCGGTCTCCGCGCCTCCTGCAGCTCCTAACTACCGGCAACAATGGCATCACACGGGTTCTGGTCTCTTGGCGGAGATAATGCCGGGGCCAATACCGGGAGTCAGAGCCCGAGTACGCGTGAGTGGCTTTTTGTCTTCAAACCACATCCTGATGGACCGGGCGCAGTAATTCCTGAGCGTTGTCTCAAGCCAGTGCCCTGCATTCACCGAACCACCAGACAGGCCTTATAATAGGCAACAATCCTGCTTTCTTTTTTTTTTCTTTTTGCTTCTTTCTTTCTTCTTTTTCTCCACATGAGACATTTTTCGTGTATCTAAAGAGCTGTTTTATTCCAAGTTGCATGGCGCCTTTTGTGTTTCCCTAAACTTGGACTGAAGCTGAAGCCAGCACATCCCTTATCTGATTTATCCCACTTCTCTCTTTCAGCCAGGGCTTGGTGCCAAGCAGCGGCCCAGAAATTATCCGGAGGAATTGGATCGAAATTATGTGGTATGTTGGGGAAGGAGCGGGGGTGGGGGTGGAGACGGAGGGGAAGCTATTTTTAGGCAAACGTGCCAGCTATTTCCATCATAACTGTCTGGCCCTAGAGTAATAAAAAAATATATATTTCGATGCTATTTTTTGTGGGTTTCCAAAGCGCTGCTAAATGTCGGGGAGGTGGAGAAAGCCGCCGAGCCGGGCGCCAAGCAGCCGCCAGAGACGGCTGCAGGAACCTGCGGCTGCAACAAATCCTGCAACTGCACCAAAGCTGCTGTGGGCTTCTCCGACCTCTATTCAACAGGTACGAAAGTGCACTGTGAAGCTGGATTAATTTTAAGATTTATTTTCTTCCCCGAGTCCAGACTTGGCTTTACATTGAGCAGTTTTCACTGTGCGAAGTAGGCTAGAAAATAGACATTGTTTATATACAATATTTGTATATAATCATCTTAACTATAAAAGGAAATAATCTCAAAATGCTTCTCAAATATTTGCATCTGATCGCACAAACTCCTGAGAAATGTTTGGCTGAAGTTATCCGCTTTAATCTCAATTTATAAAATAACACATTGTGTATTGGATGAATAGTTTTGTCCATCATTTTCATTTTTTCACCACATTCTGAAAGAGGAGTTATGTTGGTCTGTTCTCCTCAGAGAGGGGCTATTTCCGAGAGGTCACCTTCACCAGAATCGTGTGTTTTGATGTGTTGAGCGCAAAACACGAGATTTTCGTATAAAGCAGAATCAGTGTTCGGACGTGGAAACAATATGACATATTTATTTGTTTGTATGGAGGAAAAATTCAAAGACAAAAAAATAAATAAAACTTTGACTCGTGTAAATATGAATCTTAATATTGCGTGGGAGCATTTTTTTGCACACATTCCTCCGTCCTCAAATAAAAATCACAAAATGTCTCCACTGTAATCCACCCCCCCCTCTCGCAGACCTGTTACCGGCCACGGACGGTGATACCAAAACGATGACCTTCCTGCAGGAAGTTGTGGATATTTTACTGGCCTACATAGTGGAGTCTTTCGACCGGGAAACGAAAGTTATTGATTTTCATTATCCGAACGAGCTGCTTCAGATGAACAACTGGGAGCTGCAGGACGAACCTGCGACTCTGGACGACATCTTGATCAGCTGTCGCGCTACATTGAAATACGCCATCAAAACAGGTAGGCCTGGGTATGATTTTATTGCATGCATGCAAATCAATAAATTCACTTTTTAATATACATATATGTTTATTTAAAAAAAAATAGATGCTTCGGAGTGTTGGAAAAAATTTCCCCCCAGGCTGTATCATCACGCGCAGGCCTGAATCCCGGCCTTTCGCTCATCTTTGTGTGAAATCTGCCAAAATTCCAATATTCACGCATATAAATGGCAAATTAAAAACACGTTTACAATAAAATAAAAAGAAAAGCTGTATAAATTACAGAGAGCCACTGTGAAAATTATGTTACACCCTAAAAATTATTTAAAACTCGAGTTACTGCAAAACTAAACTGGAAACACGAAAGCGGTAAGCTTAAAAAACCGACCCGGAAAGAGAGAGGCAAACAAAGAAAACGTCTTTAACGTGTTCCGGGTTTAATAAATAAATAAATAAAATGATAAATGATGCCTATAAAGCATCAACACAGTTGTCCTCCTTTTCCTCCTCCTGACCACCAGACCGATAAATGCAGTGACGCAGTAAATCTGGTTCACCAAGTAGGAGATAATAGGCTAATAACCAGGCTTCATAGGCCAAATCCATTATTCTCCCCTGAGTGACACACGCAGGGGGGATTTACAGCAACGCCACAGGACAGATTTCAGCCTCCAAAAAAAAGAAAGAGAAAAACTGAAAAAATAGTTTATGGTGGTGATGAATATTTAACAACCTTAAAAACAATTAAAATCACACTGTAATGCAGATATGAGCAAAGATGTGAGGATTTCAATCATTTATTGTAACCATTTATCAGCAATTTTCCTCTGCTACGAGAAAAATGTTTATTATTATTATTTAGGAATTATATGGTGTTGAGAAGGACTTGCACCAGGTTTATAAGTACAGTTATATCTTCCTTCCTTAATTCCTTTGTCTTCTTTCTTTCTTTCTTTCTTTTTTTTTTTGCTTGATCACCCCCATAAATTACTCTTTATTTTAACGCCCGTGTTTATGACGCACACTGAGATCACGTGTCAGTGCTGTAACATGGTTTGTGTGTTTACCTTTTACATTACACCAAATGTTCTCATCATTTGGTGTTTTCATTCAGGTGTTTTTTTTTTAAGTTGACTCTGCAGCTACAATTCTAACCCGCAATTAAAGCGCTCAGAAGATGACAGCTTCTGCTCGCTAAGGAAAACCTTAAAATTGCAGCCATCTCACACTCCTCCTCTTTGCCTTCTCCATCCTCTGCTCCTTTCCCTTCAGCCCACCCCAGGTACTTCAATCAGCTCTCCACGGGATTAGACATGGTCGGACTTGCAGCCGATTGGCTAACATCCACCGCCAACACCAATATGTAAGTATGTGGCCTGCTTCATCGCGATTTTAAGCGGTGATAACGATAATGACAATGGATTCCATTTCCGGACCATCCGCGAGCAGTCTGCTCTGCGTCTGCATGGCCTGATAGCGCGCCTCCCCCCCCCCCCCCAACCACCACCACCACCACCACCACACACACACACACACACACACACACACTCAGTCATGGCAAATGAAAAGGGGTGAAATGAAAGGCAGGCCCCCACCCCTCAGCCCCCTCCTTGCACCCACAAGGCTCCCCCCTCTTCCCCTCAGCCTTTTATCCCCCCCCCCCCCCCCCCCTCCGCCCCCCCTTCACCTCTGATCCTCCTGGGGATTCAAGAGGAGAAAATTAGCTCTGAAATTAAATTCAGACTAATCTGGAGCTAATTTCACATGTGTGTTTTGGGGGAGATAAACTCTTTTGGCAACTGTGAGGAAATGAAAAGTAAACCTGCTGTTTACAGTGGAGGGAGGTTCAAATGAATACAGCCAATATCTTAATGCAAAAATATATTTAGAAATATATATATAGAAATATTAGGGAGCACACAACAGAGATGCAAGTTTTAAATAGGAGCAGGATGATGAAAATGTGGGAGTTCAAAATATTAAAGGAGTGCATTTTGTCAGTAAAATTTTGGGTGTTTGGCTTGAAAAAATATTTTCATGTGCATTTAAGTGTTTCTATATAAATGGAAAACACTTGAGAATGCATCAGAGCTGTTAAAATGTGTGCACACGATTGACAGTAATTCTGCACTTCTTCAAAAGTGAAGCCAGAAACCTCCAGACAACCTCAGAATCTGAGCATTTTTTAAATGAACCTCTGCACAGGCCAACGACAACCCTCCTTTCCTGAAACGTCCAAACTTCAGATTTTTAAAAAATAATGTCAGTTTAATGGCAGCTTTTTATTTGTTGATGAGTCACGATGGCACCGTGTTCATGTAACGAGCGCCATGTGATGCGTCTTGTGTAACGTGCAGGTTCACCTATGAGGTAGCTCCTGTCTTTGTGCTGCTGGAGTACGTCACTCTGAAGAAGATGAGGGAGATCATTGGCTGGCCGGATGGGCGAGGAGATGGCATTTTTTCTCCTGGTATGTTTGCATGGCAGGTGACGCAGAGTGCTCTGACACCCCTCTGTTTGACTGGAGATGGAACTGGCTGTATGTGTGTGTGTGTGTGTGTGTGTGTGTGTGTGTGTGTGTGCGCGTGTGTGTGTGTGTTGTAACGTGTCAATTTGCATTTTGATGATATAAATGGAACGTGTTTCAAAGCCAATTAGCATAAAATAATTTTCAGTTTAAGCCCCCTCCCCCTCACCCACCCCAATCTTTAATTTCTCCCATGCACTTCATAATGAGAGGCAATCATCGGAGAATTTACTGACAAAGCCTGTGATTGGCTGTGACATTGTGGACAGCGAGATGCAATTTTGGATGCTTTGTCATTTCTTGATATGCTCTTGATGAACAAAAGTTTGTTTTACATGAACATGGACATCTTGAAACAATGTAGCAGCCTACTTTTTTTTTTTATCAGTAGTTTATTGGCTTACACATTTACCTAACAAGCAAAAGATTTGTGGTTCAATCCAAGGAGAAGACCGATTCCTTTGGGGTTGTGTCAGTAAACATGCAGAGCTATCTACTGTGGCAGCTCCTTGAGAATAAGGGAGCAATCGTTTAGAAACCCTGCATCACTCCCTGGAGACACGTCCCTAACTCAATCCTGTCTGTCCTCCAGGTGGTGCTATTTCTAACATGTACGCCATGCTGCTGGCCCGCTTCAAGATGTTCCCTGAGGTGAAAGAGAAGGGAATGTCATCCGTTCCCAGACTGGTGGCCTTCACATCCGAACATGTAGGCATCCGTGTTTAAAATCCGATTCCTCACGGCATCGTCAGTGTATGTCTGCTTGGCTCAAACGGTGAACACTGAACACTATTTGGACATTTCTTTAAGTCAAATGTCAAAAAATGTATCTTTCAGCTGCTAGAATAACACAAAAAAGATCTCATGGTAACTGTGGCTGTGCTTGATGTGTGACTACGTGTCACTTTAACTCCACCGCTGCTGATAAAAAGCTGACATTATGCACGTCGCATGCAGAAGGACACGAGGTGACTGGTGTGCATCTTTAAAGGACAGCTGAAAGATGCTGTGAGGAAAAAAGCAATGAAATTACAAACAAATCTGTCATAAGACGTACATATTTACGGATCCGGTCACTCATTATCTTTTTTTCCCCCCTTGTCTTCAACTCTTAGAGCCATTTTTCAATCAAAAAAGGTGCAGCAGCTCTCGGCATTGGGACCGAAAGCGTGATCTGCATCAAAGCAGATCAAAGGTAAAACTGGCTTCAGTCGTGCATCATACTTCAGTTAAACCATGAGGCATATTCATTGTTTTTGATGTTAAAAACACTCGATATAGAAACAGTTATTATTGTATTATTGTGGAGAAACACTACAGCCTTCTAATCTTCACAAACTTGTTTTACCCAAACCAATAAGGCCTAAAGACCTGATAATGTTCACAAGTAACAGTAAAGATGTGTCTCTCCTGTTCAGCTTAGGATTCAAATTTATATTTCATCTTGTGACCCTTTAAAAGAAATCCAAACCCTAGACTGGAAAACACTCAATGATGTGTAACTACAATACTTAACAATGACTCATGACTATTTGTAACCTTATAATATGATATGAAATCCTTTATATATTACTGCTTATAGTTGTACTTAAAGGGACAGTTCCTCCCAAAATTACATTTATATTGTTTTCTCCCTCTCATCTGTGTTTCACTTTATCCATCTTATCTGTTTTGTGCTCAGTTTTGGAGAGATGTCTACCTCTTGAATCTGATGGAACTCTCCTCGAGGCATTAAGAGCATCAAACAGAGTATCAGCATTGTCTCTTTCAAGTAATCGTGAATAGGTCAACCGAATAACCTACAAAACTGTTTCCATTGCTCACATTCCCCAACCAACGGAAGCAGTAGCTAACATTAAACATTAAAGTCAAGAGAGGTGACATTAATGTTTACAGCGTGCCTGGAAGAAAATGGATGAGCGGGTGGACTTTGGCTTGTATAGTCGCAGTGTGAGCATTATGGGCTCTGGGGGTCCAAGTCCATCCATAAAGGTCACTGTGCCCCCTAAGCTGAATTCTACTGGCATTTAGAACTAAAAGTAAAATTAAGCAATAAAATTTGGCAATAAAAAAGTTTAATACCTCAAATGTTGTAGTAACAATCACGCCAGTGTTAATTATTAGGTTAAATACCAGAGTAAGTCAAGTCTTATGCCTCCCTGTCAAAGTTAGTTGCCCATCCACTCCATGTGCTCTGGTGCCGACGCTGTCCTGTCCCTTTAAGTAGAATTTCAAATGCAATACTTGCACTTATATTTTCTGTATTTCTGTTCCTGTGTTGCCTTTTGTTTTTAAGGTAGAGGCCTTCTTTGCCCACTGACAGTATGACAAACAACTTTAAAGCCAACTAAAGCTTGTTTTCCCTTTGCAGCGGTAAATTGATCCCAGCTGACCTTGAGAGGCGAATACTGGAGGCAAAACAGAAGGTAAGATGATGTACATTTATTACCCTGCTATAAATAGACAGATATGACTTCATACAGTTTTGATTTTATGGGGTGCGCTCGACTGAAACTGCAGAGATGATGAGGGAAATTTGGGAACATATTGTAACAACATAACGGCCTCATATGCAGTATTTTGGTTGCTCTTGTGCAGGGTTTTGTACCTTTCTTCGTAAGTGCGACTGCTGGGACAACAGTGTACGGAGCTTTTGACCCCCTCATTGCCATTTCTGACATTTGCAAAAAGTACAACATCTGGATGCACGTGGATGTGAGTAAAGCTTCCTGATTCATTTAAAGTGTCATATTGACCTTTCACATGTGGGATTTTTGGAGTGTTTGTGCACAAGAGGGATTTTAATGGAGGCATACACAGAAGCAAAGAGCTCACCTCTGAGTTTGACAAATCTATTATGTCTGTCTCGCCTCTAACTGCTTGCGGTTGACCCAGATAGAGAGCGCGCCATTTCCTATCTAACACTGGAGATTAGAAAAACTGGAACAGAGGCTGTAAATCATCTCCTCCCCTGACTTTACCATCATGGGCCGTCTCACTGAAGGAACTCTATCTCTTAATGAAAGTGATTTAGTCCTGACAGGGGGACACCTCTATTAAGAGCAATAAATGGCCTTGTCTGTCATCCCTCAACTAGCTGAGATGGGTAAAAAAAAGCACACACACACACACACACACACACACACACACACATTGTGATTGTTAATCATTTTCATTGGTTTATCTGCTAAATTTTCTAGCTACAGCTCCCAGAAAGACATATACTCACTTATTAATGCACTTTATCTGGTACACCTTTGGTCCCCTTTTTGCCCTCAGGTCTGCCTTAATTCTTCCAAACATAGATTTAGCGAGGTGCTGGACACGCTCCTCAGGGGTGTTGGTCCCTTTTGACATCACACCATTGCACAGTTGCTGCAGATTTGTTGTCTCGACATCCATGCTGCTAATTTCCCATTTCACTCCATCCCAGAGGTCCCTATTAGATTGAGATCTGGTGACAAAAAGTCAAAGTTGTGCATTCAGAGATGCTCTGCTTCATACTTTGGTTATAACGAATAATTATTAGAGTTACTGTTGCCTTCGTATCTGCAGTGTGGCCATTCCGTTAAGACCTCTGACACCGGATATTTTTGCTTTTTCCGGCCATTCTCTTTAAACCTTAGAAATGGTTGTGTAAGAAAATCCTGATAAAACAGCAGTTTCTGAATTACTGAGTCTGACTCCAACAACCATCCCACATCAGTTAAATCACCTTTCTTCCCCATTTTGATGCTCAGTTTGAGCTTCAGCAGGTCGTCTTGACCATGTCAGTGTCCATGACCACATCACTCAGATGTTGCCATGTGATTGGCTGATTAGATATATTCATTAGGAAGCACTTGAACAGATGCAGTGTATATATTCATAGACAAAACAGTGATATTAAAGTGTACTAATACTACTACTGTGTGTGTGTGTGTGTGTGTGTGTGTGTGTGTGTGTGTGTGTGTGTGTGTGTGTGTGTGTGTGTGTGTGTGTGTCACAAAAATAGTCCCTGTTGTGTTTTTAAAGCTTAAATATTAAATGAGGTTTGGCTAGTTGGCAGAACTTCTACAGAAATCAAAGGCTTTAGTGCTGGAGTGTTAAACATGTGGCCAGGGGGGCAAAATTGGCCCACCCAGGTGTCTAATCAGGCATTGTAGATGGCTTTGCAAAATAGGAAAAATGCAGAGGAGCTTGGCATACATGTTGGAGTATTTACTGTGTGAGTGGATGAAGTCAGTAGTACACAAACCATTAAATGACAGGAAATCGGATAGAAATTTTTTTTACAGTAAAAAAAACCATTTTGTATTAATTAAAACAGCAATTCTTTTTTTTAAACTTATGGCACAAAGTTCGGGTAATGAGCTGCCAGTATGATGTCTGTCATTTTGTGCTCAGACTTAATTTTTGAAAGTTTAACCACAAGGAGCAGTGCTGAGGTTTTTTTACTACAGCAGTACTTCTTTGTATTGTGGAAAGACTGAGACAGTTCATTTTTCTTAAGACGCGTCAGGATTTCACTATCAGTTTTATACATGGATGGTTTATTAAATGTGGATGCTAATGTCTTTCATCTCCTCGTGTTTCAGGGAGCATGGGGAGGAAGTCTGCTCATGTCCAGGAGACACAGGTGGAAGCTGGACGGAGTTGAGAGGCAAGTAACTGTTTTATGCGGTTTGGCCCCAAATGGGCAAATATTACAAGCTAATGAGCATTTGATATAACGTTGAATGATGGTTGGTTCTTTTTGTTTTGTTTTTTTTTAAACTGCAGGGCCAATTCAGTCACATGGAATCCACACAAAATGATGTCCGTCCCTCTGCAGTGTTCTGCCCTGCTGGTCAGAGAGGAGGTAGGCCTCAAATTCTCAGCCCCATGCTGCGTGTTCCTGCTTTTGTTTATTGAGGTGATTCTGTAAATGCTCTGGCTCTCACTTCACAGGGTCTTATGCAGAACTGCAACCAGATGCACGCCTGCTACCTATTCCAGCAGGACAAACACTACGATCTTTCTTACGACACCGGAGACAAGGCGCTGCAGTGTGGACGTCATGTGGACATCTTCAAGCTGTGGCTCATGTGGAGAGCTAAGGTAATATAAATATAAATATAAATATAAAGTTTGATGATTGTAAGCAGCTATTAATAGGGTATAAATAATAATAATATGCTAGAACACTATAATCAATGAAGATTGGTGTACCGTCTGCAAAAATGTATATATTTGGCAGCATGGGTCTGTTCTGGGACCTCCTTGGCCTTCTGCATCGTTACATGGAAAGCTAGAGGCAGGGAGAGCAGCAGCAAGACCTCACCTTTGATTGATAAAGTGATGGCATGCTGCTACAGAGCAGAAATAAATAACAACAGCCATACTGTTAAGTCAGACACAGCTAGAAAAGGAAAAGCTGTGGATCCAGATGTGTTGCAAAGCAGCTTGCAGATTTAAGGATGTTAAACTGTCTTAAAAAGTGCATCTTGTGCAAGATTTGTCAGACTAATGGTTAGAAGAGTATCAGATGAACCATCAGCTGATGCTGGCTGTCATTAAGCTAATCCAGCTGTTGTCAGACTGTTGCAAATGCTTTCTCTCTTTTCAGTTAATTAAGCTGCTTCCACTTGTTTCACTTTTCATCTTCGTTTTGGCTCTGCTATATTATATTAATGCATTTTTAAAAAAATTTTCTTATGCATAGATTATATATGAAAGCTTCTCAAAATTTCAGTCATTCACCCTTCTAAGAAAATGTGTCAAAACTCAGAGAAAAACTTTGTGAGTTATTAAGTCAAAACTAAAAATAAAAACCTGAAATTTTGAATTATGGACGTCAAATAAATTAAATGACGGAAACTGAGTTTAATTTCGGAGAAGAGGACAAACTCTGAGATCCTACAGCAACTTCTAAATGTCTTTTATTTGTTTGTTGTCATTTTAAAATTGCTTTTATACTTTAATCTATATACTAATATATATTAATTCAGTATTTATTTATTGTTTGAAAGTGTCTTGTGTCGTGGATATGTGACATCAGGTGGGGGGAAAGCACCACTTTTAAGTTTTATGGACCAAATAAGATGCCACACAGGCCCCATTTCCAGGGACCAGATGACCAGATTTAAATCACATGGTCAAATATTCAACCTATCCTTGTTGGTCACTCATTGGCTAAAATGCATTTGGCTGCATATGTAACACGTTTTAGATTGACACTGATGAAGCCCAAAGCCAAATGTTCTCTATACTATATAATAAATTTATATACTGCTGTGGAGTTTGAGCAATTACAGATAAACATCTTTTCTTTGACAGGGCACCATTGGGTTCGAGGCTCAGATTGACAAGTGTCTGGAGCTGTCCGAGTACCTCTACAACAAGATTAAAGACAGGGAAGGATACGAGATGGTCTTTGATGGCAAAGTATGTTCACATTCATCTTTCACTCTCTCTAAAGGATAATTCATCTGCAGTCACACAATCATGGAAAAGTAGCTGACATTAGCCCATGTCGCTCCTTTTTCCTCAGTGTCATTATTGCTGACTTGATTTCCATGCAGAGTGTTCTGGCTTTGAGTTGGATGAATGCCATTTTTACCTCCAGATGCCAGTGTAATGTGCTGCTATTATGTTTAATGAATAGCATAACGGCCCATAATTGCTCATATGCATATGAATAGCGTGGTGTCTGAAATATCCTGCACTAAACTGAAGTACAACACAAACATATGTGGGTATGAAGAAAACTCTCTTATGAAAGGGGTGCTTGGACACATGGGGTAATTTATTATGAAAGCTCTTTAATGTTTCAAGCCTTATTGTTTTCCTGCTGAGCCCCAAAAAGGCTATGAGCATCATAACCCAGAGGGGGATGAGAAAAAGCCAAGTCCTCTGGGCAATGGCCCAGGTGCTCACTTGTCTGTGCCTTCCATTGAGCCATTACATCAATCTGATGTTGAATATACTACAGCCAAACCAGCCCAGCTGTATAAATGAGGCTGGTGTGCATGGTTAGTCAGCTGTTGGTAATGAATGCCCTTCCGCTCTTATGCAGACAGGCAGGCGGGGAGTTCTTGCAGGGATTCGGGTGCCAGAAAATAGCACTGTGAGGAGCTTTCAGACATCTAGTGACAGAAGGCACGCTACCTGTCCGATGCTGTGAACTCATATTGGATTGTTGCTCTGGGATGCAAATCAGCATTTTCATTCAAAATCAGTTTGGCTTAGGATACAAGCATTTTAATGTCATAAGATTTCTGCAGGATTTTAGGCATGAATAGCTTTGAATTCTACAAAACGGCTGTATACCATGTTTAAACTGCGTGTATAAAGGTGTAGGTATATGTAATACGCACACAGACTGTATATAAAAGATGGACATAGCCGCCTCATCCATGTTGAATCCTTAATTTTCAGAATTGGTTAGTGCTAAATTATATCACCTCTGCTGTCTGGCCCTGCCTACTATATTTTTTTTACTTTGTCATATATAATTAAATTCATAATTCGCCATTACATAAAAAAGTAGAACATATTCTGCACCAGGGTCATTTTGAAGTTTTAAAGATATGCACACCAAGACCTGCTCTAAAATTTAATGGGCTTATGAGTAATCATTACTCTCGTGAACGCCAAGATAAATCAGCATTTTTTTAAATTATTTTTTTTTATACAACTGCACTCAGTCGCTGTTTGTTTTTCCTCAGTTTATTCCTCTGATATCTTGTTGTCTGTGTGTCCCCTCAGCCTCAGCACACCAACGTCTGCTTCTGGTACCTGCCGCCTGGCATCCGCTACATGGAGGACAAAGAGGAGAGAAAGAAACACCTGCACAAGGTGGGTACTCTCAGATAAGGAGTCTCACTGTAGTATCTCCCCAACACAACTTTCACGAGCCCCGTCATTCATATCCAGCCCGACTATCACACATCTTTCTAATTAGGGGCAGCTTATACTCAGGATTAAAATAATACTTTGCCCTGCACATGAGGAGAAAAAAATGGCAGCGGTCTTAAACAGGACACAGAGTACGGGTTAAAAAGAAGTGAGGCTTTTCAGCTGGCTAATGTGCTGGCCATTCAGAGGATACCACAGCAGCAGGGGCCTCATAATTGACAATCAGGACAAACAGATGGCGTTCATGTCTGCTATACAAAGACCACTTCTCTCTCTTCTCTCTCTTCCTGTTGACTAGAAATCGTTACCAGCTTCATCATTGCTCTGCAAATGCAGATGTTTCCCTTTGTTTTCTTTGAAAAATTACTTGAAAAAACACCATGGTCATGCTTCACCGAGTAGACAGACTGACTGGACAGCTTTCCACACTCTGACTCTGAGCCTGAGGGGTGATGTAATGCTGCCAGATTAGCACTTTGAGGAAGAGCTGAGAACTGAAGGAGCCCTCATCAGTTTCCACGTGTCTTAATGACATCCTCTAATGGATGAGGAGAATGGGAGGAACTGTTAAAAGATTGATTTGAGGGAAATCAGCACACAGTAAATTATTTTGCAGCAAGCACGCCAACTGCAGTGAGACACCTGCAAGACATTAGGAAAGAAATGACTGATTATGTGATGAGAGCTGTATGGAAACAACTAACTAATCTAGCAGGCAGTAATCTGAAACTGAAGCCTACTTCCTCGAGAAGTTAGCTGAGTGTTAAAGCCTGTTTTGGTAATACCCACAGACTTATTAAAATTCTTGCACGATTATTCTGGGTCATATGAGCCACGGTTAACTTAAGCCCTTAAGCTAAAGCTGCACTCAAACTGTCACTTGAACTTGCTGGATCTCATCTGCATATCCTGAAGTTGGTCACGACGAAACCTTTTTATACAAATCCTCTAACCAACCAAGCCCTAAAAATGATATTCCAGAGACACAGACGCAGAGGAGTTTTCTCTCAGTGAGCCGTCTAACAGGCCGAGCGTCGGTCAAAACGAGCACTGAGAGTTTCAGACATGAAATTGAATCTGTCGCCGCTCATCACTGCAAAGAATCTACACCAGCATCGTGACTCTGCTGAGTACAAAATAAATGAGCATCACCCCTGGCTTCACTCTTAGAGATAACCTCTCAGCATGGCAGGAGCAGCAGTCATGGGGCTGTGCACCCAGCTGCTGTTACATTTAGCTGTCAGATCGATGGGGGGTAAATGACCTACATGGTCTGTAGGTCTGATGAACCTGGGAAGAACTTTGACTTGTATAAACAAACAAGCACCCATTTAGATCCGATTACACAGAAAGAGAAGTAGTCAGGCAATACTCTCCCAAACTGTTCCTGCAATTTGAGTTAGACGACTGTTAACAACCATGTAAAATGTAAAAACACGAACTAAATGCTAATAAAATGGGATATGTGATATGTGAAAAAAAGTAGTTCTGCAATCAAATCATTTAAAGTACTGAGAATAAAATATTATTTTCCTACATTTTTATTTGAGAAATTTAAAAATGCAAGTAAACAGTGATTTTATTAAATGCTGACACAAAATTTATGAGAAAATGTCAAGATCCTACAGTCGTGCAGGGTTTGCTGAATTCTTGTTCTTTAATAGTTTTGTGTTTCTTTTTTTTTAGTTTTGTTTAGGTTTTGTTTTGCTCTTGAGCACTTTTAGCCTTTAGGTGTCATTATATTTGAGTTCTGTTTACTGTATGCATTATTGCAGCTTTATTTGCCTCGTTGGTATTTCCCTTCATCTCCTCATCTCGTTCCATCTCTTCTGTTAAGTTCACTCGAGTTCTGTTTGTCCTTATTTGAATATATTTCCTGTTTTTGTTTTGTGGTTGTTTGTCTCCTGTGTTTTGCATTTAGTTTTATTTCCCCTTCAGCCTCGTTAGAAAATTAATAAACTGCTGTAGTAATCTGCACAAAAAGAGTATGAGTTGACGTAGATAGAAGAAGGACACAAAATGACCATAAACAAACTCAAAACAAACACAAAGTCAGGATATAGTCTGAGGATATCCTTTCTCACATTTAACACTAAATAGAGGACAGTCCACTTCAGGCCCGCTCTATTTATTGAAAATACTGTGTGCTGGTCTGGGTGTTTCTTGCTTAGAGCACGCAGGAGGTAAGACACGTAACGCTGTGAATTCACAGGATGCTTACCTGCTTACCTATTCTTTGTTAACATGCTTAACTTTGCAAAGCATCTAGCTGTATAGCTCACCATGTTTGTGAGGTACGGTTGGGAGACTTTTTCATTTGCGCCCAATGGCCCATTTTGTCTCTGCCCTGACCTTCTGTGTATCTTTCACATATTTTATTCTCTCTTCCTGAAGGAACAGCAATTCATGCTGTATTTGTTGCATGTTGTCAGGTGGCTCCCGTCATAAAAGCCAGAATGATGGAGTACGGGACAACTATGGTGAGCTACCAGCCACAAGGGGACAAGGTCAACTTCTTTCGCATGGTGATCTCAAATCCTGCTGCTACCTTTGAGGACATCGACTTTCTTATTGAGGAGATTGAACGACTTGGCCAGGATCTATAAGACACATCTCTCCAAATCCTCTTGTACTTTTCCCCTTGACGGATGAATTGTTTGTCGTGAATGTACTGGTAAACTTATTTTCTTTTCTCTCAATCTTTCCTCCAAAGTCTCATATTTAAGAGTATATTTGAGACAAAAGATCTGCAGATATATCCATATATTACGTATTGTAGCTTTGCCGTGGGCTGACTTGGTCCAAAGCTATGTAAAAGTGCTTCTGTCTGCTTCTCCTGTAGTGTAGTAGATCCCAGAGTAGTGTAAGTGACGTAACTTTATATGTAATTTTTGTGATATGAAATGCTTGTGCAATAAGTCGATGAGAAAGAGTTTATTTCTCAATCATTTCTCATTTGCCGAGTCCGTTGTTAAGTGCCAAACGTGGTTGTGTTCTATTGTAACTTTAAAGCATTTTAAACTTCTCGTTTAAAACAAAAATAGCACTTCACCTTACCTCAGCTTAATCAACTGCCTTTACATCTGCACATTACACTCAAAGCAGGGCAGAACTCCTTCTCTTACCTGGTGTTGTTACGCAGTGCCAGCACATGTTAAAGACATAACCCAGCCAGAGCAGACTGCATGATGGAAACGTGAAAACAGAGCAGTTCAAAGCATTTACAATCAAGCCAGTTCACCACCCATCACCTCTGCCTTTGACAGTTCAACCTGCAGCTCATGATGCTGCTCTGCTTATTGATTATTAAGACTTTTTTACTCTCTTTCTAATATATTTAGGCGATAAAGGCTTGTAAAACCCATGTCGCTGGACATTGTTGACTTGCTACATGAATACATCGAAATGGGATCCATTTCCATCCTTGCTGTATAATTAGCTTTGCTCCATATGTTAGAATGAAGATCGGCACTTGAGCTATAATCCTTAAGTTTCCAGTGTATTGAACTGCATTGAATAGATTTCAGATTTTCTGCAGTAGTCATCAACTGTATTTGTGTCCTGTTACTGTTGCTATGTGTGGTAGTAGTACCAGTTGTTTTCCAAAGCATTTCACCTAACAACCTTGTTTTTTCATTGCATATTTGACAGACTAACTGCTGAAAGCCAATCTGCTGCCTCCAGGGGCCATTACATACATGTATTCATTTCCTTGGACTGAGTAGCACACCAAGGTAGTAGTTGAGTAGACTTTTTTTTTTCTCTTCTTGGAAAGGACACCAACTGTGCACATGACCAGACATGTCCAAGGGTCTACAGTTTGCTTTATGTAGGCTGTGTTGGGAACATTAGTTTAGTCCAAACAACATAATGAGTCTAATGTAAATTACTTCAAATTCTCTTAGAATTCTTCTTGACCGCTTGACATTTTCATTTTAAAGGAGGACAAATTAGGTAATTGTTTGACTATTTGATCACAACCCTGATGTTTCAATACAGCTCCCAAATTAAATTCATTGCTCAGTAGAGGTATACCCCAAATACGTAGGGTTACCTTCCTGCCAGCCTGCATCATTAACTCACATCTTTGAGACTTGAAAAGGGGAAGACGTACAAAGAAGCATGTTGAAATTTAGTCCTTGCCTTGTTTCTTTTGCACAACAGTATATGGGAAGTATGTCCAATTGATCATTTAGGCAAAGTGCTACCAAGGTGCCCCAAAGGGCATCATAGCCCTGGCTTCACTGCATGCCCACTGCCATTTATATACAGGGAATTTGCAGTACTAAAGATTCACTATGAATGGATCTGTTATCTAACTTTGTGGATATTCCTTGTACAGAGAGTCTATGTCAACGTTTGGCAAAAAATGCCTATATATTTTGTTTTATTTAAAATGTTACAAATGAATTGCTTTTTAGTGCTGGTTGCAGTGAACCTACTGGAACTTGGATGTTACAGGGTACATGGTGCATTGCCCAGGTGGCAGTTTAAGTCATATCCCCTTTTTTCGCCCCATCAGGTTCTTTAATTCCAGTACCATCTCTGGGCACTGCTCCCAAAGCTTTGTGGCACCGAATTGCCGCTAGCCTGCCAAATAAACCAGGACAGAAATCTTAAGGATTATAACTTTAAATATGAAAGAAAAGATTTTCTTTTTGTAGTCATGCTTTTGAATGAGCACTTACTGAAAGGTTGTGGATCTTAAGAAACCAAGAATTGGGCAATAATGGGGTATTGTTGGGATATAGGATCTTAACCTGATTTGCAGCTACTGTATACCTGACATTACTTGCACTAAATCACTGTTGGGAGGAGCTGCATCCCTTTGCATTGCAACTGAGATTTTGTCTTTCTGCATTCACAAGCAATATTTGAGTATGGGTCCAATATATATATCTATATATATATACATACGCATATATGTATCCTGCATAATATCAAAAGGATCAATAGTAAATGATAATCAAGTTTCCAGACCAAACCCATGGTAGTTTGCAAAAAACAAGGACAAAAAAAGAAACCTGGAGTAAAAGCATGCTTATTGTAGGCGGGTTAGTTGGAATGTGAACCCTGATTTATCAGGCAGAGGTTCTGTAGCATTTTCATTAGAACAAGTTAGAAAAGCACAATTATAGCTCAACATGGTCGGTCAGTGAACAATCACTTTTGATCATAGACTGTAAATAGTATTTCAAGATGTCCTAAGTACATATCTTTGTGTATACATACGTGTATATAAGACATTTAACCAGAGACTATTTGTGAGGTAAAGTTCTTCATATTTTCTCTATCTCCAATATAGATTACCTGTATTTTCATCCGGTTTGTCCAAAAGGCTTTTTTCCTTGTGTGTATGTATGTATGTATGTTCGATACTTGATTTGTGACTTCTAGCTATTTCAAAGATGTGTTTCAGGGACTGGCTTTAAAGAAATTGATAGATTTTACTTTGAAATACTTCCAAGTCTTACTCAGAGACTCGGGTGTTTGGATTTTCAATGAATATGCAAAGCCATTTTGACTCTGAAGCCCCGTGTTTTTCGTGCACAAGTGATACTTGACGGTATGTGCCAACTGTGTACCTTAGTGTGTTTGTAAGTGTGTTGCCTTAGTATGAATTTTTCAGTATTGTCTAGTTTTCCTCCAAATGGGAGGTTGTGCACTTTAGAGTATACACATGATCAAATAACGTGCAATGTCCGATGGTTGTCCATAAATTGATGTTTAAAAAAAATTCTACTACTCAAGATATGTAATTTAAGCTCTTTGGTCTGAATGTGCACTGAATCGAGGGTCTGCCAGAAATGAAAGGATTTAATTTTTTCTCAGTTTGTAGATATTGTAAAGCTTCTCCTTTAAATGTTTTACATCTCAACGGAGAGTTGCCTAAAGTTTCAAATTTTTACTTTCTGTTTCGCCCCAAACCAAAATTGGCTTCCACACTGTGACACAGACAGCATGATTTATTACAGCGACAATAAAATCTCTCTTTGGTAGTCTCGGAAAGCCAGACACTTTGTTTCTCTTGCTGCTGCTGCTAGACTTGCTTCCTTTGCACGACATGCATGCGATGCCTTGCCTATCCAGCTTGTTTGATATACAGTCTCCTATATATCTATTTATATCTATCTCTCTCTATATATATACATATATACAGTTTGTGTAGCTCCTGTAATTAGCTTTAGTGTCCGATGTATAGCTTAGCTTGTAGATTAGTGCTGTCGCTCTAGCCTTTACATGTGATCTCTGTGTCTTGAGCTTCCTGTAAAGTTTCTTTGTGCCGCCAGCATGCTAACCTCGCCTAGCATTGTACTCCTCTCCGCGCTTGATCTGACTTTCTCTATCCTCTGTCTTTCTGCTTGAAGACTGTCGCAGCTCTGAACGTAGCGTATTATATCTATATGTGTAGTCCCTCAGCATGTCTTTCTGAAAGCTCCTCTCTGCTCTGCGCCTGTACGACCTTTTTCTCTCTTTCTCTTCCGCTTCGCCCTCTGGTAGCAGTGACAACGTATCCTCGCGCTTTCCTCTGACGTTTCTCGGCTGCCCGCTGTCGTTCTGTTCGCGTGTCTGAGACGGTGTGTTGGCATGTGTCATGGTGCCCACAGTGTCACCGTTTCTGATGTTTGTTTCACAAAGGCCCTTGACTCTGTGGGATGTATGCGAAATAAATTTAACTTAGACTTTAACAAATATATAAGGAAAAATTAGACCCTAGTTTCTTGCTTATGAGAAATATTGTTTATAAGAACAGTTAAAACTCCCAGTATTCAGAGTGCAGATCATTTCACTGAATATGGTGCAATTTTGAATCATACATTCTGCAAACTGCTGTGCTGGCTTTATCAAACGTTCATTTGTCCTGAACTATATGTTGCTCTTGGGAAAATAGAAATAAATATTGCCAAAACAAACAAAAAAGTGTGAGTCTCTGTTATTTTTACTCAAACCTACAGTTTTATGAGTATACTCATTGTAGCCTGCAGCACTAATGAGTCCTCAAACATAGTGAATGGAGCCAAATGGCTAAAATATCTAAACCTGCTTTCAGACAAAAAGCTGTAAAATTTTACAGTATACACTCAGGGCCACTTCATTAGCAACACTCTGTGGCAGCAACTCTGAATGTCACACAGTTGGGATTTTCCCAGATTTCAGCAAATATGCCATCATCTGAACTTCTCTGGGTGAAAATGCCGTATAGCAGCAGAAGACCACACTGGGTTCCTCTGGTCAGCTAAAAACCATCGTCTGCTCTGATGAGTCTCGATTTCTTGGTAATAAGATGAGAATATGAACACATTGATGCAACCTTGGACTATTGTGATCCCGTGCTAGTGTTGTTCCTAAATCATCATAATGATGATCGTCCAGGATCAGCATTACAAGTAACCAATGACTTTCTCTGGACAGTCTGTGAAGGTTCGTAGTTTAAGGAGCTTGGAAAGAAAAGCACCTGGACTTCTTTGCTTGAAGACGGTTCACCTCTCATCTGAGAAGCTTCTTCAGTTCTAAGGTCAAATGGTGGAGAGGCCCAGATTTAAGCCCTGTGGGAGTGTCCCTCACGAGCCAAGGTGTGAAAATGGGTGTAGGTCACAATCAGCCAGGGTTTCAGGTGAGCTCATTGTGAAACCTAGCCCTACCCTATCATGTGATTTCCTGAGGTCAGATGGCCCAGGATGTGAGTGGGCATTAAGGCATCTGGGAAGGGATCTCAAAACTGGATTATAGATGACAGACACTTGGTGTCGAAAGCCACCGCCTCTGTTCAAAGATGGTCGTTCACAGTGGACACAGATGGCTTCTTTCACTCCTCTTTCAAGCCATCTGTCTTCTCTGTCCAAAATGTGAACACTGGTGTCCTCAAAAGAGTGACCTTTGTCCTTTAGATGCAGATGGACAGCCAAGTCTTGTCCCGTCGAGGAGGCAAAATTTGACCTTAGAACTGAAAAAGTTTCTCGGATGAGAGGTGGAACATCTCCAAGCAACTCAGAGAAAGTCCAGACGCTTTTCTTTCCAAGCTCCTTAGACTTAGCAGTCAGTTAGCATTAGCAAAGAATTTAAATGAAAAAGAATTTAACGCTATTAAAACCTATCCTTAGCAAACTGACATGAGTAAAGTAAATCTGGCTGACAGCAAACCCAACTTGATAATCTATTTATTTCATTAGATACATTGATAAAGAAAATAATCAAAATGATTACCATGAACAAAGGCATATCTTTTGTTTTTCCATGCAGCGCAAAGCTATGACATCACAACAATGCAACTGGTCAGTTGCAACTCTGTGTACCATTCTCATGATACTGCAGGAACAATACCAACATAGCATGACGTTTGCAAAATTAGAAATTTCTGATCCAGACCTAGAGTTTTCAGAGCTACCTTTTCACTCACCACCTTATGCTTGATAAAAGTTTATTTCAGACTCATATTGGCCAAAGCACAGTGTTACATGAACAGAAAACATTTAATGTGTTACATAAACTGGGGAGAAAGTCCTTGAATGGTTAAGTGGGACATAATAAGCGGCACTTTTACAGCACTACAAAGTAAAAATGGATCTGCAGTGTGAGTGGAGGACTGTTGGCATTTATGTAATCTCTTTCAGACCTTTACAGTCATGGTTTTTATTGCCTCTTGAGTTATAAAGTCAAAATGCAGTGCATGGACTCAGTTTTCAGACATCAGATGAATCCACAAGGCAGCATTCTCATTGAATTTATAATACATTCCGATAATTAACTCTAAAACATACACAAGAGGGAAAAGAGGAATTTAGAACTCGAGTATTACATGTATCTCCACATGTATAAATACATTAACAAGCAGTCAGAGCAGATTAAAATCCCTTTTAATAATCAAATGTGCATAATAAAAATGATCTTATCTAATACATTTAAACACCAAAAACTATAGTGCAAATATGAACACCCTCTAATGATAATGCAAAGCAGCACTGTCACAGTTTCAATCTACAACAGCAGAGCTCTCTCCAAGGCCATTGCTCTATTTTGCACTACATGTGCTCCACATCGCTACTGTGGTCCATGAAAATTGGCTTGGTAAGTTTTGAATAAGCAAAGAAAAAAAAAAAGTATTTCTGAGCATCTTCACTGGCAGGTTGCTCTCGTCCCTCTAGGTGGCACTGCCGCCTCACGATTTCCATCACAAGGAAGCCACAGGGAGTTTGTTTCTGCCACCAAAGCAGGCGTGTCCAGCAAATGTGGATGGAAATTCTTTTTTTTTTTTTTTTGGCAAATAAAAATTATTTTTCCTGTGTTGTCCCCACGAGTTGTTATTTTTACATTTGTGCTCATTCATTTCTGATTACAGCTTCCTTTTGAGTCCAAAGAAAAGAAGAAAAGATTTAAAAAGACATCCCGAGTAATGCGAAGGATTACCAGATGCTTTGCATCACAGAAGTTTTTTTTTAAAAAATGATAAATTGTATTGACTGATGTCTCTCTCTGACCAATTTTCACCTCACAACCAGACACAGAATCACACTTTGTTTATTCGAGTGATTTAAAGGCCCGATAAGACAGAGATGCATGATTTAAACAAAACATCTGGGGAGCTCACTATCAGCTGGCTCCGCTGACAGCACTCAGAGGAAATGGATGGTTTTAACATTACAAATAAAAACTGGAATCATTCAGTTAGTTAACTGTTTCCACACAGCGGGTCAAGACAGTTCAGCACAGCCACTGATCTGTCTCCAACACCTGATTATTCCCCAAACTACAAAGATTTGCATCTTTGTAGTTTCAGACTTGATCAGTATCTCACTCTTGAACCTTCTGTGGACCTGATTTTAACAGATAATCAGTTGTGTCGAATCTTCTTCCTGTATAGCTACGCTGTTTATAGTTTAAGCTGGCGACCGTGTTATTGTGTTTCCTATACCACAGCAAAATCATTATTAGCACATCTGGGCTGTATTTCTTAATGTTTAGTGGTTCTCTCTTGTTTGCTTATAGTAGCCAAATGCAGGAGATGCATCCAGATTAATTCTGTTTAAAAAAAATAGCCTCAGGGGGTGCAATAATTATCATTAAGAGCATATAATATAACAAAAACAACATGCTGTTTGTTTTCATGATTGCACTAATGGAAATGTTCGACTTCTATGTGTTTTTTTGAAGTTCTAATTTAAGTGTAGCAGAAGTTCTCGAAGTGAAACGGGTTCCTCTTCTGAGCACATACACAGTAACTTCATTTGTTACTGTGGCCAGAAGTCAAATAAATATTGTTTTAATAGTTTTTAAGATGTCATTTACATGTGTGCAGTGAATTTGATGTTTTGTGTAGGCAATCAAAAGTTCATTAAAGTTCTAAAAAAAGTGATCATTTGGAAAATAACAGCTTGTCTAGTGATTGCAAACACACGGGGATTCAAAATGTACATTTTTTTTACAAATATTTCTTGGACAGACTTCACTGAGTAGCAGTTTCATATAGCAGGGGTGAAGCTGAAGGTAATAGATAGCAACTGGAGTCGTCAGTCTGGTTGCCATTGGTTGGTGAAGCAAACGTTACAGTGAATTTGAAGTGCTGGACAAAAGGGACTGATTGGCTGTCCGGGATGGTCCTCTCCTCTGGCCTAGTGAGAGCTGGGAAAGGCTCCGACCCCTGCTGTGACTCTGAATGGATGGATTTTGACACCATGGCCGAACAGAACTGACAAACATAGCATCAAGGATAGCACATACAACCAGAGGGTTTGTGAGAGAACAGAGCTTCCTTACCTAACTTACTTCTTGAAAACATTAGATTCAGAAAAGAGCCCGAGGCCAAAGGTGTTATTAGACACACATTTTCCTCAGAAAAGCTTTTGGAAATCCAGACATTAACTTTTGATATTCTTGTTCCAACAGGAGAAATCCTGCCTTTATGTCTTATCAGATCTGGAAAATTTGTTGGAGAGCTCTAGTACCCAGATGGTTATAGCCCATGCCACAAGACTGAAGTGGTCCTGGTTCAGTTATAGCTGAAGATATGCGTTACATGTACACATCTCTCTCATTCTATATTATCTGTTACCTCTTAATTATCAGATTAAGAGTCCTCAGCATTTCAGTTAGAATCACTATTCTTCTGTCCATCTTCAGTGATTTGTATTTCATGGCGAGCCTCTATTCTGGGGGGCATCCCTGCCCATCCACTTAGGTTCCAAGTGATTGCTGACCAAATTATTGCTAAAGTCCCAGAGACAGACCCTTCAGACCACCCAGTTATAGCATTTCAGTAATTCCTCTATCAGTTATTCCCAATGCACAGTCTTCCCTAGCAACAGCTGGTCTGCTAAGAAAAATGTATATTCCCTAACCAGTTGGCAAAAAGCTCCTTGAGACTCGTTTGGTCGCATATTGTTGCAGTCATAGTTTAAATAGAAGTGACAAACATGCGCACAAAGTTGTCCAGTTACTCTCCGAGCTGAAGTGAAAGAGCAAAAAGTGCAACACAAACCACAAATGAAAACTGTTTGCCGTCAAATTAAAAGTCGTGCCCTGTGAAACACGTTAGCTACAGCGCTGGGGCACCGTGAACTGTTTACCACAAGGCTAGTTGTTAGCAAGTATTTTCAGACAAAGATGATTAACTACAGGTTACCAAGGAAATCTGCTAGCAACCAAAGCAATCATTAGGAGGCTGTGCAACCAATTTCATCCCCCAAGGCCCAGCAACCTCCAACAAAAACAGTTGGTTTCATTGCATCCAAAATGGTGGACAATGTGAGCATGACATCTATGAGAAACCTCAATTCCAGTGTAAAAAATAAATCTTTATGACGCTCTTGCTTTTGTTCAATAAGAATCACCACAGATTTATGCAGTTTTTGTGATTTTGAATGCAATCAATTTGAATAAAACATAAATTTTATGCTACAAACCAACAACACCACAATTCCAATATC